GTTTATATCACGGTCATGATGGAGGACCTATTTAATCGTATACCTTGCCAACATAAACAAAATGTAGTAGAACGCGAGTTCATATCTATGCTCAACATCATAACTCTAATCACAAGCTCATGACTCCTTCGATTGAATCATATCTTACCTTCTTCAAAGCCGTGCGTCATCGCACATTGACTTGGGAAGAAAGACTTGACATCCTCCGGCTGCACGGATGGCTCAGAGGACAAAACTCCAAGGCTGCAGCACGTCAAGTGTCCGAGGCCCTCGGTCGCAACCTAGGTGGTGTCAAGGATGTGTGGCGAGAGTACTTGTCGTTGGGATCAGTCAAAGTTGTAGCTCCACCTTCCAACACCACATTACACAGTACCATTAACCAAGCAGGTGGTTGCCCGGTACAAGAGTTCGTGCGCAATAGTCGCACAATGTGCATTAGAACGGCAGTTGTCGATGTCGTGATGTACCTGAAAGAAATGTGTGTCATCGACTTTGACATCAACCTTGCAACATCCTACGAATCGGTTCTCCGGTCTGTGCAGAGGTACCTGAGCCGTCAGGACTACAAGCGAGGATTAAAAGAGGGGTCATCAACATACCACTTTTTGCGCAAGAACCCACTGGCGCGGGGCGCAAATGTGCAGCGTATGCAGCGAATTTTACATCAACCCATGGCAACACGTCGTCTACACAAACAAGTCGTTCATCCACCATCACTACAAGTGCCGTAACCATAGATTGTACGACCCGTCGGGCACATTGGACATTGTGGCAAAGGAGAAGGAAAAGGTCTAAGGTACTGTATTGTGGCTGCCATTCTTGACACACACCCTCACCATCTACAGCCAAGTCCTGGCGCTGGAATTTTCACTGGCCCGAAGTCAACGCGCCAGGAGCCAAAGGGTTACCAAGGGATCTTCAACCATGACTACTATGTGCGGTGCTTTTCCAGGCTACTAGACGTGAGGACGACATCGGCGCGTCCAACGCCCTGATTGTCATGGACGACGCAAAATACGAAGGGCGACCGGATAATGCACTATCTCAGTCGAAAGCGCAAAGGTGCGTTGTTGGTAGCTTGCAGATTGTACGGCATCCCTTTGTTGGCCACTAAATACAAGAGTGATATTTGGGCCAAGTTGAAGGCGTACATTGAATCGTACATCTACCAGTGGTGGTGACAATGGCTAATGGTTGAGGTCATGCTGTCGTTTTTACACAATCACACCATTCAGACTGAAGCCTGTTGAAATGGGGTAGGCTCTTGTGAACGGCAATGTTGGTCGCCAGTACACAGACTTGACAATGTTCCTTAAGTCGAAGGAACCCCTCAAGGCGGCGTTTTCAAAAATTGACGTCCCATGGAATAAAAGGGCGTGTCAAAGTTGCCGAAGACAAGTTACACAAGTTGCGTAAATAACTACTTCAGATTGATGCACTCGAGTCGGACGAAGAATCCTCTGCAGGAAGTTGTAGCAGCGACGACGAAAGTGATAGTGTTTAACTCTTTCCTGTGTTTCCTCTAATATTGCATATATCGACATGCATAAAGTGCTCGAATCCTGCCACCCTTGATACAGTATCAATATTTATTGAAGCTGATAAGATATTTATTGGGTCGTTCGTTGCTGTCAAAAGCGTTAATTGATGCGCTGCCCACAGCCGGTGCCATGTCTTATTACGCTTGGTCCGACATACATGGAACGCTGCAGTAGTCAATGGGGTCGACGCGTAGAGTGCCAAGATAACTTAAGAAGGCACAAAGGTTTTGTGTGACTTGATTGCTGTCCTGTTAGATTATAAAAAGCTTTCCTCCTACTACTACTACTACCTCGCCCGTCGAATTCATTCTGGCGTCAGAGCCGTTTGCCCCAGGCACGAGCGAACGCAATGTCTAAATCACATTTTTGGTACATTGAGCTTGAGCAATGCGGTAATTACTTCGTCGTCATTTCGTGGGGACCCGAAGGTTTAGTTGCCTTTTCAACGCATTCCCCGCCACTGAAGCGACAGCTTCCAGGAGATTCGTGATGAATCGCGCGGAAGTCGCGCTGAGTTTACAATCCAACA